GCACTCAGAGGGTGTTTGAAAGCGTTCAGGATCACTGCTCCAGCCGACCTCTGTGACCTCTGTGCCTGCACAGAAATGGCCTTGTGGGGTCACAGCCTGCCGGGGACAAGGCTTGCTGTGTGGGAACATGAATGGGCGCTTATGCCATGAGAAGTACTTTCTAATTATAAAAAGGAAGAAAACTTGAGGAGAAGGAGGTTAACCCCATTTGTCACCTAGTAATGTCAGCATCCAGTGCGGAGTTGGCTGTTTCTAGCAGACGGACACTTCTTAGAATAGGTTTCATGGTAAAATTTGGATTTTTGTCCGCATGGCACTGTATGGGTTTTCCCAATCTATTAAGTATTCTAGGATGAGTGGCATCTCGATGAGAGGTGCCGTGGCCCCAGCTGGCACGTCAGTGCGCCTAGGGTGATTGGCTGCTTCCACTTGTACGTCACTGTGAACACTCTGTGTCCTCCGCTCCCTAGGGACAGTTGTCCTTGAGGGCAGTGGGGTGGGAGGAGGAACAGGAACCTGCCGTCCTTCATCCCTGAGTGGCTCCTGGTGAGGTGTGGCCTGCTGGTGCTCACTGCTGTGGAGATCTTGGCTAGGATCCTGGTTAGGGCCCCTTCAGGACTGAAGTTCTGTCCTTCGTCGCAGGATCTGGTCCGTTGCTTACTGTGCTGGAGGCGCAGTAAGTGAGTCTGGTCAGCCCACCAACCAAGGAATGAGGCCGTGGGACCCTTGTCCCTACACTGTCCCCTCTACCAGGCAGTGCCCCACAGACTGCATGCGATTAAAGTGTCGGCATGCTGGGGTGCAGGTCTGTTCCCCTTCAGCTGTTTTCCTGGGTGGGCTCTGCCCAGGAAAGACCCTTGGAGATGCACCCCCCCTTAGCCTTTATTTATATTTTTACGCGGTTCTGAGGTCGGAGCCCAGTGCCGCACTCGTGCAGGGCAAGCGCTCTGCCACGCCCAGGACACCACTTTCAGTGCAGCTCAGTTTCTGCACCTGGGTGGGGAGGGGCTGCTGTGCGCTTCCAGAGGGGAGCAGCTGTCAACATCACTCAAGTCCTAGGACAGCTGTCCGTCTGTCTGACGTGGAGGTAGGAAACAGTTGTCAAACACGAGTGAACTTGGAGCACGGTAGTAATTTTTAGGGAACTTGGCACATCGGCCACTGGGGCCGGAAACAAGTCCTCCTGTGCCCTGGTGCAGCCTTGAGCAGTGTGTCTCAGAGCCAGGAGCCCCTGGACAGCGCCAGCCAGCCCAGGCACGCGACCAGCCCCTCTCGCCACTACTATGATTCAGAGATAATTGTGCTTTTTCTTCCTGGTCTCTGGCTGGGGACCAGAGCTGGGGAGTTCTAGTCTGGGCTGATCACACGACCCTCCCGCTGGCCTGTGGGCCGTGGGCTGCATCACAGGGTGGGTCGGCCTTCACGTGACTGGGCAGACCGCGAGCCACCAATTGCAGCGAGTGGCCTCCGAATCTCACACTTGACGGCCCTCTCTGGGCCACACGTGGCTTAGTCCCTAGACTCTGGTTTTCACTGAGCAGCAGGGCAATGGGGACAGACTGGGCGTCAGTGCAGAGCGCCCTCCATGGGACACATGACGCGATCAGCCACCGCCATGGCGCTGGGCTTCAGTCTCCTGAAGGCCCAGAAGATGCGGGGGGAACCCTGCCCTTGCTGTCCTGTCCAGCGGGAGCCCCTTGCTCTTCTGTGGGTGTCCTTTGGGGTGTGGTCTCCCCAGCTGATGGCAGTGAGGGAAGGGAGGGGCCGACTCCCCAGGGCCTCCGTGGTCCCTAAAGCATGAACAGGAAGGAGACCTCCGTCCGCCCACCGAGGGCCCCAAGCAGCACATGCTGGGTGTGGGGCGAGCAGCCAGGTGACCAGCTTTCAAGGGCACCCGGGAGTTGGGAACGAAGCCGCTGTGGTGCTGGGGCGAGGGCAGCTCATATGCGGAGAAGACCGAGGTGAAGCCAGGTGTGCGCAGGCCCGAGGAGGCCTTCTCTTTGCAAGGGGCACTGATCGGGGGTCGTTGGCAAATGAGAGGGTTGCAGAGCAGGGACGGGAGGGGGAGCCGGGCGTGTCCAGGCGGGAGTTGGGGTTGCCTCCTGCAGACTGCTGGGAGAGGAGTCCCCGAGGTCTTCCTGTCCTTCAGGCACTGGGAGCCCACTGTGATGGTGGTAGCAGCCCCACAGCTAGGCACCACGTGGGCAGAGGAGGCTGCTCTGTGGAGGGATATCACCCTCCTCCCCTCCTCTCTGTGACCCCCACCACGACCCTGTGACCCCACCCCCACTCGGATTTCCTGGTGTCCCAGCCCCCCCAGCCTCCTCACCTTCCAAGGTGGAGAGAGCCAGTGGGGGCAGTGGCTGGCCAGGCTTGCTGGCCTCTGCCTCCCGAGAGCCTGCAGCAGGTCATCCTTGATGCCAGCTCTGCAGGGACAGCCTCAGCTGTCCTTCCTATCTGAGCCCACGGTTTTGTGGCTGTCTGTCTTAGATGTGGGCTCCTCAGAACCAGCTGTGCTTAATTCCCTGGACCTAGTGGCAACCACAGAGCCCGATTCCTAGAAGTTGGTGCCCAGCGACCTTGATGTGACCTTGTACAAGGGCCCAGGTGGATGTGACACCAGGGGCTGGAGAGCCTGGTTCTGCCTACAAGGCTCACTCTTTCACCCAGAGGGCAGGGCATGGGTCGAACACTCACCAGATGGGCAGTGGTACCCAAGTCTGTCCCCAGAGGTACCCAAGTCTGTCCCCAGCCTTGCTCTTCTCAGAAGGAGGCGGCATCCAGCATCCTGGGGTGGGGCCCCTCTGCAGCAGGGGGCTCTCCACTTGGGTCGTTGCCCGGGTCGTAGACTTGGAGGTCTGCCCATGGCTCTGCTGTCGTTCTGTGGGAGGTAGCTGGGGTGTTGACCTACGGTGGTCAGTGGCCCTGTGGTCCTGTAGAGTGACTTCCTGGAAACAGCCGTTCCTTGGAGACCTTGTTTGGGGAGTGAGGGGTTCTGTGGGCAGAGGCTGGTGCCTGGAGCCTGGGAAGCCCAGGCTGCGCTGCTAACCTGGAGGAAGCCTGAGGAATGGCATGGTGCTCCCACGTCACGAGCAGATGTGGGGACCGGTGGTCTCAGGGCATGAATGGAACCGGCACCCAGGGCAGTGTTCCCGTGCTCCCCAGCATAGTGCTGCCCTCTGCGCACCCTCGCTCACGGCTGTGGGACACGGGACCCACCCCGGGCACATAGAGGCCCACGAGGCCTTCTTCACTGCCTGCCCATGTCCTGTGCCTCTTCTGGGTCGGCTTGGTTGACTGTGTCTCGGGCAGAGCGAGGGCAGAAGGGCCACCTGGGTTTCTCACTAGAGCCTGAGTGGTTCTGTCTTTGCACACGGTGCCACTGCTCAGGGGCCTCGTTCTTGGGGTCTATCTTTTCTCTGAACGTGTTGACCTGGACACAAGGAAGAAAAACTCACTAGTGTTAAGTGGGACTGGGACTTTGATGGGGCTGTGCCCCTTCCTGCTCCTCCACCCCTCAGAGGCCCACGGAGCAGCTACCTGCTATCCTCGGGGCCTTGAGACCCATGCTGGCCACGCTGACCAAGAGTAGGCCGTGTGGCTGCAGGTTTCGGGAGAAGTAACCACCAGGCCTATAGAGCCAGGCCATCCGGGGACGTGAACCCTGTTGGTGTTTTAGAAATGCAGCCTAGATTTCAAGAACAGGAGGATTCCTGGGTTCAGCCTGCGGTGTGGTCAACCTGCATCAGCCATCGGGTGCCTGCAGATCACCCCAGGGTAGCCACAGAAGAACCTCTGCACCACTGCTCTCTGCTTAGACTCATTCCCTGTGTCTAAGCCCCAGCTGCACACAGGGCAGGAACCGAGGCGCACAGTCCTGGGTCTCATAGGCTGGGGTTCCTGGGGAAATGGACCAGAGACGGCACCCTAGAGGTGGTAAGCAAGGAAAAAGGTGGGGTGAGGGTGCTCTGGGGCTTGTGTGGTGAGCGATGGAGTTTGGAGAATGTCTGGGCAGGGCCTTCCCAGCTGCAGGAAGAGCCTGTGCAGAGGCCCTGGAGTGGACAGGCTTGGGGGCTGGGGCCTGCAGGGACCGCACGGAGCGGGGCAGAGGCTGCAGGAGCCGCCACACGGGGCCTGGAGAGCTCAGAAGTCCTGGTGGGGGCGGGGCCTGGCGGAGACCACTGATTGAGGGGAGCACAGAGCTGGGGGCAGGAAGGAGCAGATGACTGATCGAGGTCAAAGCCAGTGTGCAGGTGCTCAGAGGGGGCAGGCGGAGGTCATGCGGACAGTCGGGCAGCCAGGGTGTGTGTGACCAGGAGAGAGCTCTGGCTTCTGGGCTGGTTGCAGGAGTTGCCAGTGACAGGTGACGGGCTGGGGGAGGAGCTTTGGGACCAGCCCCAGGATCTGGTTTGCGCCCTGGAAACTCAAGCCACCCTTTTGGCTGTGGTTCGGCCTGTTGGAGCCCAGCCAGGTCCGCCTGTGCTGCGAGGGACCCAGACTGCCCGGGCGTCAGCTCGCGGCTCCTGGGGTTGTTCCGGTCACACGCCTGCTCACTCCCGGCACGAGTTCCGGAGGGCAGGTGCTAAGTGCCCCTTCATGTTGCCTTCCTGATGTTAGAAAGTGCTGTATGCAGACATTTTCACACACACATCTCCCTACAGGGCAGACAGGTTAGCAGGCCTTCCCGTGCTCCTGCTGAAGCTGGGTGAGCACGTGGCCCTGTCACTCTCCTAGAGCAACAGCACTCAGGGGTGTGGCACCTAGTGGCCTGGCGCCTCTGCTCACAGGGGCAGCATCAGCAGAGGCAGCATCGTGAGTCACGGGACTCGCAGAGCTGGGAGGAGGGGGAGAGGCCCTGGGTTTCCTGGAAGCCCGTGGGGGTTGGGCTGGTCCAGGGCCCATGTGCCAACCTTGGGAATGGCAGGGCAGGGCAGAGCGTGGGTGGGGTGTGTGGTGGAGGGAAGCCTCAGACGCACCGGAGGGCAGGCAGGAGGGCAGGCAGGAGCACGCAGGCCCCGCAGAGCCTGGCTTTGTAAAGATGTGGGCAGCCTCTGGAGGGTTTTGTGCAGGGGAGTGGCATGACCTCAGAGGACAGCTTTGAGCAAACAGAGGCCGCAAGGGATGGATGGCGGGAAGGAGAGGTGAGCTCCGAGCTGGGGAGAAGGTCAGCAGGCGGGCACCGAGGAGCCTGAGGAGCAGGAGAGGCTGGAGGACTGCACCACCAGGGAGGCCGGGGGGCTGCTCGGTGGGCTTCTCCACCTGCACCTGGCTCGGGTTTGGGGATGTGCCCAGCTTCACCTTTGACCCCCACCCTGCTCCTACTGGTCAGGGAAGGGCTGTGAGGACGCAGCCAGCCAGGCCTCTTCCGCACTGCGGCTGGCTGCCTCTCTCTTTGCTGTTTAGGAGTTGAGTGTCCCTGCCCTTGCTTGGAGGTAGTGTCAGGACGCTGTCCCAGGGCAGTCTGCTACCAGCCCTGGAGAAAAAGCTGTCATTCTGGGGACACAGCACTGAGGCCCGCAGGACACATGCCCACGGGTGGGAGGAGGGCTGTGTGTGAACGGGTGCGTTGAGGCCAGCGTCGGTGCTGTGAACGCAGCCTCAGCACCTGGCTCCTCTCCAGCCAAGGGCAGGAGAGGACGGCTTACAGGCCCCAGGCACCAGCCTCTGTGGGTGCCGCCCATCTCTTGGAGGACTGCAGGTCTCTGCCTACCTGCCAGCGCTGCTGCTTCTGTCTCAGCACTGACTCGGGGCAAAGGTCCAGCCTCTGCCCCTGACAGAGTCCTGATTCCCCTCCAGGGAGCACAGTGGTGGTCTCTGTGCCTGCCCACCCCCGAGGCCACATTCGCGGTCGTGAGAGGGAATCCAAAATTCTGGTCCCTCCTCGGGTCGATCCTGGGTGGCTCTGCTGACCTCCACGTGCGTCCCCCGTGCTTATGGGACAGTGCCTGCCCCTCGGCCCAGCAGGACCAGCTCTCCCTTGGCCACGCTCACCTGCCTGGACAAGGCTGGCCCACCCAGACGTGCCCCACTCCTGGGTGACGCAGGACTTGGAGGGAAGGGGGTCATCCAGTAGCTCTCTTGGCCCCTCCCTCACCGTGGCCTTTGAAAGAAGACGGCACGGTTCTAACTTAGCGCTGAGTCGCCTTTCTAAGCAGCGCCAGGGGCTTCTCCGCACCGCAGGGAGGAGCCAGGCCAGCTCACCCGGCTCCATCCTTCCCTGCCGGCCCCACCAGATGCCAGCTGGCCGTCGCACCTCCTGGGCAGCCTCTGGCCCCCACCAGGAGGCTGCCCCTGCTCCGGGACCTGTCCCTGTGCCAGCACCAAGTTGGAGTCCTCTCGTCCAGAGAGCACGGAGCGCCAGCCCGAGAGCTCGGGGGCTGCATGCAGTTCTCCGCACGGCCCTCAGCCTCCTGGAGAGCTTGTGGTGCAGGAGTGCGTCCTTTTGGGGTCTTGCAATTACGGGGAAGCCTCACTAGAGCTGCTGAGGGCTGGTCTCTCGGCCACTGGGGCTGGCGGTGGTGACAGAGGTGACGATCGCGGAGACGCTGCTCCCTGTCCCTGCACCTGGCTCACGTGGATCACCCTGTTGGCTCTTCACACAGACCTGCTCTGTCAGTGCTGTTGTGCCCCGGGTCACAGATGGGGCGGAAGCTCAGCAGGGTTCGCGCTGAGCACACAGCGTGCCAGATCCACAGGCTGCCGTGCAAGCCGCTCTTCTCCTGCAGAGGTGCGCTGGGGCCTGCGTGTCCCCGAGGCGCACCCGCGTTGTTCGGGTGCTCCTGAGTGGCCACCTTGGCAGAGGGAACCTGGGGCCACGTGGGGTGAAAGTTGCCCTGTGTCAGCTGCCGGTGTCACAAGCCACCAGCCACCTTCTTTGTGTCCAGACCCTCTCCCAGGGCTTCCTTCCTGTGTCCCTGACTCACGAGGGCAGACACCTCCCACAGAGCCCCTTCCCTGCCTGGTAGCAGCACAAGGGTCAGTAAACGCGCCCTGGTTTCACGTGCACGTGCCACGCTGCAGATCCCCGTGGCCACTGTGCTTCCCACGTTCATTTGGGGCCCGAGGCGGGGGATGTGCCAGGTCACCCACACTGCTCCTCCCAGAGGACCAGCTGCCCTCCGGACAGACGAGGCCATTTGTGCGTTCCAGAGCCCTGGATCTGGCAGCGTGGCCTGCACGGTCCTGTGTCGTCCTTTGACTGCTGAATGGGCTGACCAGGTGCTGGGGCACATCTCACAAGCGCCATTGTGCCCCGGGAGGAGTGGCCGCATGCCCAGCGGGCTGAGGAGATGGCACAAAGTGGGCACAGTGCAGGCCGCTGTGCTCCCGGGCCAGGAGAAGAGAAACGGCCTCTCATGGAATGGCCTGGAGTGTTCCCTCCTCCCCTGAAAGGACCCTCGAAGCCAGGCTGCTCTTGCTCAAGGGAACTTTCTTCCTCCTGTTCTTTCAGGAAGAAGCACGCTGCCGAGTTGCCGTTGCGCAGCTTGGTTGCTTGAGACAGAAGCACCGTTGCTGCTCCAGGAAGCAGAGGAAGAGACATGTGCCCTTAGTGGACCCCTGGCCCAGGGTTTCCAGATGGCGGCCCAGCGGATCCGAGCAGCCAATTCCAGTGGCCTCCCTCGGTGCAAGTCGGAGGGGACCCTGATCGACCTGAGTGAGGGGTTTTCGGAGACCAGCTTTAATGATGTCAAAGGTGAGCCCTGGTCAGCCACGGAGGGGAGGCCTGGGGCTGCCGGTACCTCAGACCCAAGGGCCCCTCTACCCAACAGGCACCGGCTTCACGCTCAGCTGAACTGCAGCTCTGTATCCTGTTACAAATTCCTCCCTGCAACGGCGGCCCCTGGGTCTGGGTGTTTGGTGTGGGGAGGCGGTTTTGATGGGACCCTTCCTTTGTCCACATGTCTCTTGGTGACAGTATTGGTGACAGTAAGTAGCTTGGTGGTTCTGACATCTGGGGAAAGGAGGGTGTTGTAAGTAGGTGAAATATTGGGATCCACCAGAAGAGAAGGAGGTGGCCTGGGGCAGGGAGGCAGACCTGTCCTCGCAGGGTCTGTCCTTTATGTCAGTCTCGCCCTGGCCTCCAGCTCTCTGCCACAGCCGGTCAGTGAAAGCAGACATGGACGGGGTGACCAGGTGGACATGCCTGGGTGCTGGTTCAGCTTTACAGAACCAGCCGGCCACCACATTGGATCGTGTGACCCCGTGTCTAGAAGGTGGCCACAGGGTTCAGTCACCCGGGCTCGCTGGCGGGTGGCCTCATAAGGTTGGGTGGGGGGGGACCCCAATCGTGAGACACTTTGGAGACTTCCGGCTTCCTCGGCAACCACCCTGCCCTCACTAGGCCACGTCCAGCGTCGCGTGCTCCCTAGTGCCCTGGCAGCCACAGCAGTGGCCGTATTGTCAGTGGCTTTGGCCTTCTGAGCATTTGCCGCAATTGATCACCCAGGTCCTCCCTGGAGCACGGCTGGGCAGGAGGGACTTTCCCACAGTCCTAGCCCTTGGCACACACTCAGCACAGTCCTCCAGATGCATGTGTGCCCCCACCCTGCGTCCACAGCAGCCTGGCTGCTTGCCCGTTGATTGGCAGCTGCCCTCCACCGCATCCCTAGCACCTCCTTGGTCCTGTCCCTGGTTTACACTTGCTGCCCCGAGCATCACTTTGAATAAGACCAGCACCTGGACCGCCAGGGTAGTCGGCAGCAGGGTTCATGCAGGTCACCGTAAACAACCAGGCCATTCACTTCTCAGCCTGATCACGGGCATTGTTTTCTTACTTTATAGCCAAACAGGCAGGTTTAAAGCTGGAGAGCAGGAGCCTAACTTGAGTGCTATGGGCCTTAAAGTAACCAGTGTACAGAGCCCAGTGTCTTAAAATAATGATAATAATCCTGAGCATGAGCAGGGCCAGTTCAGTGGTGGAGAAGGCAGCCGAAAATCAGGTCAGAGGGGACCTCAGGACCTCCACCCACGTGAGACCCTCTGAGGCCAGGGCCGGCCGACAGCTGCCCATGCACCATCCAGGTGCAGACTTCTAGGGAGTGCACCCTGCAGCCAGGATTCCTGCCGGGAAGTCTTCTCCCCTCATCAGTGCTCTGCTGTGGCAACCTGGGCAGAGGATAGAAAATGTATCATTCAGTGCACCAGACTTGTAACATCCAGGGAAGTCTTGGTATTAAGATCAAGGTAACTGTGAATATGGCACGCTCCCCAGACCTCATTAAATGGGATTCGACAGGGATTTCTGGCACTGGATGGGATGGCAGCCTGCACTGTGTCCCAGGGTGCCCCTTGGCAGTGACTGATGGAGGCCACATACAGAAGAGTCCCACCACAGCCCACCTCGGTGGGGTCCCCACAGGAGGAGGGCCCTTCCCCTCGGCTGTGTCTGATCCTTGGGCAAAGTGTGTTGTGCTTCTCTTCCGAGGAGAGTGCTTGGAATTTTAAGTAAAGCCATCTCATTCTTCAGTCTGGCAAAACTAAAATGATAATTTGCATTGATACGCGTTAGGCTATGCACAACGCATGCCTAATTGCTTTGCTTTTTTTTTAATACTGGAGATATTACTGTAGGGGAATTAATTACTCCAGAGGAACAATAATGAGGCAATAACTTTGGAGGGACTGTAACAGGATTTTAAAGGCTGGCGAGCTTTATGCAAGTCTCATTGGATTTTCATTTTTATTTCCAGTGGATGTGTCGAGGAAATAGTATGGTCTGTGTTGCCGGAGAAACGGGAGAGAGGCCGGTGGACCCAGAAGTCCACTGGCCTCAGCCTGACCCAACTCCCTGTTCCCTCAAAGCCATTCTTGGGGCTTAGAAAATGATACCTCAAAAGGAAGCACAGACTGTCTGAATCCTGCCCATCTTTCTCACTCTTCCTCTCTCAAGGAGGGGGGAGAAGCTAGAATTCCTCTTCCTTGGGGTGGGTCAGAGGAGCCAGAGCCCCCAGCCAGCTGGGAAGGTACCACCCGACCTTGCTGGGTGGAAGAATTTAGGGTGCTCCCTCCAGAAGGGGAAAGGAGTACAGCCGAGGGGCCAGGAAGGGTCTGCGGACAGGCCGCTGGCTCTCTGGGCTCCCCAGCGCTCACCCTGGTGCGCCCACCTCTGCTTGGCTGTGGCTGTGTCTGCTCACCCACTGTAACTGCGGGTCTTTGGGCCTTAATGTGAAGACTCCCGGGTCCCACAGAACTGCGCTACCTCGGAGTTAGTGGTGCTTCTGTCCTGTTGGTCTGCTTCAGCAGACTCGGGCAGCAGGCCTCCGGGGGAAAGCGGGCTTCCTGCCCCCTTCCCCGCTGTCTTCCTCTCGTTCCAGCCCCCGCCTGGTGCAGATCTGCTGTTGTGATCCCGCAGCAGAAGGGCCCAGCCAGGGGCAATTCTGACTTAGCCTTGGGCCAACACCTTGATCCAGGAGCAAGGGTCTGGCCCTGCTAGGGCCGGGGACATCCCCAAACAAACAGAATGTCCAAGTGTCGGGGAGGGCCTTTCTTCTCCCTCCCTGCTGAGGCCTCTGTGACAGGCACAGAGCGTAGGTGTTCTGTGGACACGGAGCCTTCCTGGGGAGAAGACCTACTTGAAAGCGTGGACCTAGAGGCGTCTGTCTGTGAGGGCTCCACAGAGTGTGGAGGGACGCAGTGGGACAAGGTGTGGGCTCAGGGTAGGCGGGCGGCGGCGGCCAGGCCTGTGGGAGCCGGTCCCTGGGCCTGGAGATGAGGATGCTCGTGGGGACAGGAGTGGGAAGGGCCCCACAGGATGCTCCCAGGCCCTGCTGCAGTGGAGGCTCCTCAGATCCTGCAGCTTCACGAACTCCAGGAGCTGGGGTTGGGGATCCGTGGGCTGAACCCCAGTGGTTACAGAATGCTGTGGTTGGCAGCCATGAAAGAGGCGGGGACTGCGCCCCACGGCTGTAGCTGGGGGAAGCTGTAAAGCCGCAGGCCCGCCCTTGACACCCCACGGCTCCCCACGCCCCGCCCCGTGCCTTCCCCTGTCCACACACCCATCGGGCCTCTGTCACACAGTGCTGTCCTCTGTCTCAGTCCCACAGAGAACACGTACAGCCGATGGCGTTCCACAGGACCCAGCACTGTCCCAGGCCACTGTACATTCTCCCGCCCCGTTGGCTTTCCCTGAAAGCCATTTGCTGTTTCCCCTAAACTCGCCTGTATAGAACGGGGTGCAGAAAGTTCTGTGTGCTCCAGGCCGTGGTCTCCCCTGTAGGCCTTCCCGCTTCGCACATCAGCATTTTCTACGGGTCTTCTCCTACCTCACGTCTCTCTCGTGTCTGTGCAGTGCCTTCTCCCAGTGCCTTGCTGGCCGATACCCCCACCCCGTTTGGAAACGCAAAGGAAGTGATCGCCATCAAGGACTACTGCCCCACCAACTTCACCACCTTGAAGTTCTCCAAGGGCGACCACCTCTACGTCCTGGACACGTCGGGCGGGGAGTGGTGGTACGCACACAACACCACCGAGATGGGCTACATCCCCTCCTCCTACGTGCAGCCCTTGAACTACCGGAACTCCACCTTGAGCGACAGCGGCGTGATAGACAATCTTCCAGACAGCCCGGACGAGGTAGCCACGGAGCTGGATCTGCTCGGGGGATGGACAGACGACCAGAAGGGATCCGGCAAAGTGCACAGTAATAACCCTTTTTGGAGCGGGGTCCAGACAAACCCTTTCCTGAACGGGAACGTGCCGGGGATGCCCGGCTTGGATGAGCTGACTCCCAGAAGCACCGTGGACCTGCTGCTGTTTGATACCGGAACTTCCTCGTTCACTGAATCCAGCTCTGCGACCACCAACAGCACCGGCAACATCTTCGACGAGCAGCCGGTCAAACGGGACAACCCCTTCTTTAGAAGCAAGCGATCCTACAGCCTTTCGGAGCTCTCCGTCCTGCAAGCCAAGTCAGATGCGCCCACCACGTCGAGTTTTTTCACGGGTTTGAAATCCCCAGCTCCCGAGCAATTTCAGAGCCGGGAGGACTTTAGGACTGCGTGGCTGAACCACCGGAAGCTGGCCCGGTCTTGCCACGACTTGGATCTGCTCGGCCAGAGCCCAGGCTGGGGCCAGACACAAGCCGTGGAGACGAACATTGTATACAAGCTGGATAGTTCTGGGGGCGCCGTGCAGCTCCCAGACACCAACATCAGCATCCACGTGCCCGAGGGCCACGTCGCCCCCGGGGAGACGCAGCAGATCTCCATGAGAGCCCTACTGGACCCCCCGCTGGAGCTCAACAGCGACAAGTCCAGCAGCATCAGCCCCGTGCTGGAGGTCAAGCTCAGCAACCTGGAGGTGAACACCTTCCTCATCTTGGAGATGAAGGTTTCTGCTGAGGTGAAAAATGACATTTTTAGCAAAAGCACAGTAGGTCTCCAGTGTCTGAGGAGCGACTTGAAAGAAGGGCCATATCTGCCCATCCCACTCACCTACAGCCATGGGGACACCGTCCAGGTGCAGCTGGACAACCTGGAGCCCTGCATGTACCTGGCCATCGTGGCCCACGGCCCAAACATTCTCTACCCTTCCACCGTGTGGGATTTCATCAATAAGAAGGTCACCGTGGGTCTCTACGGTCCCAAACACATCCACCCCTCCTTCAAGACGGTAGTGACCATTTTCGGGCACGACTGCGCCCCCAAGATGCTCCTGGTGAGCGAGGTCACACGGCAGGCCCCCGGCCCTGCCCCCGTGGCTCTGCATCTGTGGGGAAAGCACCAGTTCCTCCTGTCCAGGCCCCAGGACCTCAAAGTCTGCATGTTTTCCAACATGAGCAACTACGAGGTCAAGGCCAGCGAGCAGGCCCGGGTGGTGAGAGGGTTCCAGGTGAAGCTGGGCAAGGTGAGCCGCCTCGTCTTCCCCATCACCTGCCAGAGCCCCGGCGAGCTCTCGGACTTCACGCTGCGGGTGCAGGTGAAGGATGACCAGGAGGCCATCCTGACCCAGTTCTGCATCCAGACGCCACAGCCTCCACCCAAGAGTGCCATCAAGCCGTCCGGGCAGAGGCGGTTTCTCAAGAAGAACGAGGTGGGGAAGATCATCCTGTCCCCGTTTGCCGCCGCCACCACCAAGTACCCGACGTTTCAGGACCGGCCCGTGTCCAGCCTCAAGTTCGGCAAGCTGCTCAAGACGGTGGTGAGGCAGAGCAAGCACCACTACCTGCTGGAGTACAAGAAGGGGGACACGGTGGCTCTGCTGAGCGAGGAGCGCATCCGGCTGAAGGGGCAGCTGTGGACCAAGGAGTGGTACATAGGCTACTACCAGGGCAAGGTGGGCCTGGTGCACGCCAAGAACGTGCTGGTGGTCGGGAGGGCCAGGCCCAGCCTGCTCTCGGGCCCCGAGCTGAGCACCTCGGTGCTGCTGGAGCAGATCCTGCGGCCCTGCAAGTTCCTCACCTACATCTACGCCTCCGTGCGGACCCTGCTCATGGAGAACATCAGCAGCTGGCGCTCCTTCGCGGACGCCCTGGGCTACGGGAGCCTGCCGCTCACCTTCTTCTGCCGGGCGGAGCTGGACAGCGAGCCCGAGCGTGTGGCCTGTGTCCTGGAGAAGCTGAAGGAGGACTGTAGCAACCCCGAGAACAAAGACCGGAAGTCCTTCCAGAAGGAGCTCGTGATGGTGAGTGTGTGGCGGGAGTGGGCCCCTCTCCACCCCGCGGCCACTCTGGGACGGCGTCCCTGGGGCACATCTGTGGCTGGGCTGGGGGTATGCTTGCAGGGTCCAGAGCGGCCCAGTGGGAGACCACCTGGGTCTGTGTCCCCACTGCCTTCGTGGCTCCTTGGTGGTCTTGGAATGGAGCCAGTGGGTGGGGGCCGCAGGGCCTGTGCTCTGCACCCCTGGGCCACGTGGGAACAGATCCCTGTGGGGTGTTTGGCTCAGCAGTGGCCAGGACCCCTCTCCACCGCCGGGTTTGTCCGGGTGAGTGCTCACCCTGTCCCCTCCAGCTCTCTCTCCACTGCTCTCCTTCCTCCCTTTCCTGGGTGCCTTGGATTTGGGGGGGGGGGGGGGCGGGGGACAGCCTTTGCTTGGCCAGCACAAATGGCAGACCACGGGGAGAGTCCTGAGTTTTAAGTTTGAGGGATCACCTCCGACTGATCACCTGAAACCTCACCCCTCCATCAATCCCAAGTTCTAAGGAATGAACTGGGGGGGGACAGGTCACACTGTGGATGTGCGCTGACCACAGACCACCTGGAGGCGCTTCCAGAGCTCTTTGCAAGTCCTCCAATGGCCCGGGCTTCCCAATTCCGCTCCCTACAGGACCCCACCCCTGACTGGTAGTCACCCTTGGCTCCCTGGTTGTCCCTGGGATGGACATTGTCCCCTGAGCTCTCTATGTGACAAAAGTGGATTCAGCTGCGTCCTGCAGGTGGGGACCCGTCCCTCTGTGGGAAGCAGTCGTGACCTTGCAGATCCTCTTCCAGGTTCTGCTGATCCAGCAGCCATCCCACCCCCTGTCCTAGTAGGAGCCGCTCCCGGTGCCAGCCTCACTGCCACTCTCCCGCTCTCTGCCTTCGCCCCACACCTGCCCTCTGCATCTCCACACACAGCAGGTGCACCTGAACTGACCTACCTGAGCACCCAAGGGTCACGCCCCCCACACCCAGCTGCCCCCTCGGAGCCACGGGCCTCTGTTTACAGAGAGCATGTGAGGCAGCCTGGTAGGCAGCCTGGTAGGCAGCGGCACAGGAGGAGACCCTGGACAGTGGCCCGCAGTCCTGCAGGGTGCATGGGGCCAACTGGGGAGGTTGCCAGGAGGGAGACGGGCAGTTAGAAGGGCAGCCTGGGCAGCGGCTTCAGTGGAAGGAAGCCGAGGCTGGTTAGTGAGTGGAGGCAGCAGGGAACCTCTGTGGGACCTGGGTGGCTCACCCCCAGGGCCAACGCAGTGGCTCTCTCCAGCTGCCACCCCTCTGCCCTGCAGCACACCCCCGAGCAGAGCGCGGAGCTTGTGTGCACCAGGCACAGCGTGAAGTCCGAGAGCTCGCCGGGGCTCTGGCAGGTGATGGGGAAGGAGGCGGCTCACCTTGCCCGGCTTCACTGGAACCCTCTCACCACTCGGGCCTGCTGGCTGGCCTTGACCTCGTAGTTGGTCATGTTGGAAAACATGCAGACTTTGAGGTCTGGGTCTCCGTGGCTGCACCTGGCTCTGCCGTGTCCCCCGGGAGAGCCCTTAGGCCGCGTTCCTGTTGATTGTGGAATCAGGTGCCTTCATGGAACATAAACGATATCGATTGTTCTTTGCTGAAGCTGATAACTGAGTGGGCAGAGGTGAGAGACGAGACGGCACACAGTTCCTCCCACAGTGAAGGGTGGCTTTTGTGCTCAGTTCCAGTTACTTAAATGACCAAACTCGTTATATTCCATTGGTGACTTTGGAGAGGATTTCTGTCTTGAGTTAGTCAGGAGGGTTGGGGGTTTTGTGTGCCTCTGAGCCCTCTCCACCCTCCTCTGCCCAAGGACAGGAGACCAACTTGACCTTGTCTTACTTTTGCTGAGGCAAGGTGAGTCTCTGCCAATCAAGTGAAACTGACCTTGCAGTGCCCTCCCACCATTGCCTGGCACAGCCACCACCCTGGAGCCGGAAATTCTTCATGTTGGCCACGGTCCCAAAGCCACGGCTGGCTTCTCCGGGCACTGGCAGTGGGCGGCATTGCCCAGGCTTCTAATCACTGGCGAGTCGGGCTCCTCCAGCCTAAAGTCCCACTCCCAGGAGCTCCAGCCGACCCCCACCCACTTCCCGTCTTCAAGATGCCTTCTGTGTGGTCACTGGGATCCCTGGCTTAGTAAGTGGTGTCTAAGTGACCTAGGAAGGCAGAGGTTGCCACACAGGGAAGAAGAAGATGCCACCAGCCAGGGTTGTCCACCTCTTCATGGCTACCAACTCTTCCTGACCCTGGGCCTGCAAGGCCTGTCCATCCCCCCACCACCACCACCACCACATCCAAGCCATCTCACAGGGAAGCGGCTCCTGGACCAGGGTGGTCCCATGTCCAGCTCCGTGCAATTGCCCACGGTAGGGTCTGTTGGCTCCATGGAGTAAGGACCTGGCTTGGGAAACGCTCAGGATTCAGTGACTGAGGCAGCAAGTGACTAAAGACGAGTCACCATGTGGGGGGCAGTGGCTCCGTGGCAGATCCAGGCCGCAGTGCGAACCTGAGCCTCTCATCCCTCACACTGCCGTCCTTCGCCCACCGTTTGGGGGTTGGGGGAACTCCTATGACCCAGGGTCTCTGCCCACTCCTCACGGTGCTTGTGCCTCAGAGGATGAGACCCCACCCTGATGACAACCCAGGCCTTGATGATGGAGGGGGGATGGTGCTGGGGGGAGTGGCACCAGGTGGACAGCCCTGGGGCCCCTGGGGTGGAGAAGGCCTGGGAGGGGCCGCGGGGGCCTCTGCTGAGGAGGGTCTCGGGCTGGGTAGGCCCTGACGTGGGCACCGTGTGTTTGAAGAACTGTGAAGTCAGAGTGTCGTTGAGGTGGGCTGGGGCCACCCAGGGGTGCTGAGGGGTCTTGGCCACAGCTTCGTGCAGAGCCAGGAGTGGGTGCTGGGCTCGGGACCCACTGGACATCCTGCTGCTGGTCTCTCAGGACCCTGGGCTTTCCTGTGAGAAAACCTTGGCATGAACTTCTGTGGGAGCCCAGGACAGGAGAGCGCCCTGGGCGAGGAGATGAGAGGCCACTGGGGTGGCCATGGGAAGGCGGTCAGCTTGCAGTCACAGCCTGGGCAGGGGCCAGGCAGGCTAAGAGCTGTGGAGCGGGGCTCAGGTCCTGCGGCTTGGCAAGGTGGGGGCTGTGGTCCTGGAATCAGGGGCCGGGGGCCAGGGTGGAGCCCCCTGGGAGGGGTCCATGTCGAAGGGGAGGCGGTGGGGACGCGGTGGGGACGTGACGAGATCTGCTCCTGGTCCCCCGCAGCTTTTGAGTCCAGGAGCGTCCCTGCCCCTTGACCCTGGCAGGCTGGTGCAGGCGCCTGAGGCGGCTTTTCCCTCTCACTTCACACCTGGCGGTCGGGGGTGGGGCCCTGCTGCCCTGGCCTTTCTTGGCCCCCGACCAGCCATGACGGGAAAGCTCTGTCTTCTGCCGTGGGCCGTAGCTGGTGGCTGCCTCGTCCAGCTGTGAGCGCCCTGGAGACGAGGCTCCTGTGAGAGAGAAGGGGAAGGCGTCACTGCAGGACGCACGTCTGGAGGGTGTCGTCTGCAGAGCGGAGTAGGGACTGAGGTGTCCCCCAGACACTGGCTGGGGGATGCCTGTGAGTCGGGAAACCCACCTTATCCTGCAGAGGCGGCAGTCCCCAGTGACTGTGCCTTAGCCAGGCACATGGGGGCCCCCTCCAGGAGGCCCTGAGCGGGCCACACTGCTGACTGTGCTGTTAGTCCAGGAGGGAGGGCCAGCGGGCCATCAGGCACAATGGTGGGTGAGGAGGGCCTCTCTCCCAGAGCTTGGGCATCTTGGGAACACAGGCAGGTGGAGCAGCCGTACAGCAAACCCAAAGGGCACCTCACTGTGCTTCCTAAAGCCTCTTAACCAGGCCGGTGCGAAGGCCCTCAGGCTGCCTGTTCCTGGGCGTGTCTTCCCCTGGGCCCTTTGTCTGCCTGCATCTAGAGCAGCCTCAGGCCCTGTCTGCAGAGAAGTCACAACAGACTGTGGCCCACAAAGCCCCGTGGATTTATGATCTGACCCTCGGGAGGTGAAGTTTCCTTACCCCGACTTAAATCATAGTTCCCACAAACTAACACAGTTCCCGTGAAGTCGGCATTGTGTGGTTTCACTGGGTATTTTCTGGCTCACCTGTGTGTGAAAAAATGAAGAGGAAGTCTCAGGGCTGGGGTCCCAGAGCGCAGCTTCCTGCTGTGAACCGTGTCCCTTGCTCAGACGTGGCCCCGGCACGTGCCCTTAAGTAATGCAGAACGGCCCCCGATCCTGTGGGCAGCCTCGTAACCAACTAAGCCAGCGCTCGGCTGGTGGCATAAGTGGGGGCAAGGGCCTGGTCACCCTCCTTTCCAGAGATGACCAGAGAGTAGACTAGCTTGGCTTGCCTGGGCCAGGAGTAGCTCGACTCCTAAGCAGATGATATCGACCACTTTCTGAAATCGTCGGTAGTTGAAATGAAGCATAACCCGTGCAGACCAGGGTTTTATTGGCTCAATTCCTGATGTCACCTGGAAGGGCCAGTGGCCTGAGCCCCAGGAGGCCTGGACCTGCCTCCACTCTGCACCCCCAGCTGTGGGGCCTGGACAGACACAGGAGGGGGCAGGCGTGTCTGTTGCTCGCCTGTTAAACAAGACCCTGGTGACTGGGCCACACCCCGAGGGGAAGCCCGGGACCAGCAGCTGGAGGCCAGTGTGACTCTCACCTTCCGGGCTCTGGAAGCCCATTCACTGTCCCCTGTGTGAGCTGCACAATGGGGCAGAGTTGGCACCTACTTCCAAGGGTGGCCTCTTAATCCTAAGGACTCAGTCATGGTGGCCCCCAGTCTACACAGACCTCAGCTGCAAAGCCCGTTTCCCAGTAAGGTCCCATTCTGAGGTTCTGGGACTCGAACCTTGGAGGGAAATGGTGTCCAGCCCTGACCACCGTGCACACTGTCCCGTCCCTGCTGGGAGCCCCGCAGTGCTCATGG